AGGGATTGTTTGCAAAATAATAATTGTGGGAGAAAGCTGGTGCATTAAAGTCAGGCTGTTGCAGGAGTTTGATTCCTGGCCAGAGTAGCGGAGGGATGAGAAGTTAAGAATGATGGAAGTGAGAGCTAAGTCTGTGTTACAGCCCTCTTCTCAAACTGTTTTTCTCTTCTGTCCCCAGAAGTGGATATGCTGACCAAGGAGCTAGAGGACTTTGAGATGAAGAAGGCTGCTGCTCGAGCTGTCACTGGCGTCCTTGCCTCTCACCCCAATAGTACTGACGTCCACATTATCAACCTCTCCCTCACCTTTCATGGTCAAGAGCTGCTCAGTGACACCAAACTGGAATTAAACTCAGGCCGTCGTTATGGCCTCATTGGCTTAAATGGAATTGGTGAGGCCCTTGGAAGGCGAGGTGGGAGGTATCTCTTCTTGGCTCATCTGTCACTTAGCAAGTATTTACTTAGCACCGGCTATGTACAAAGCGAGGAGTTTACAGTATGGGTGGGAGAGCAGAGAAGCCCAGGGAAAAGGAACTAGCCGTACAGAGCAGTATGTACCACATGAGTAGTTACAGACGGTAGGTACTGGAGAAGTGGGCAGGAGGGCTGGGGTGGCACTGTGTGAACAGACCTCACGGAGCAGGGGTGGGACAAGAAATGGAGGAAAGGTGTTCTAAGAACGGGGCTGTGTGTAGAGAGGTGTGAATGAATGCAAGGAAAGAAGGGACTCAAAAAAATGGTGAAGTCATGGTTTGGCTGGAGTGGAGGAACTGGCCGGGAATGACAGGCAAAGCCGTGCTGAGTGTCCTTTTCCCTTTCTTTGTCTGCCCCTCAGGGAAGTCCATGCTGCTCTCTGCTATTGGGAAACGCGAAGTGCCCATCCCGGAGCACATTGACATCTACCATCTGACTCGGGAGATGCCCCCTAGTGACAAGACGCCCTTGCAGTGTGTGATGGAGGTCGACACAGAGCGAGCCATGCTGGAGAGGGAGGCTGAGCGGCTGGCTCACGAGGATGGTAGGGCTCCAGGCCCAGGGGGTGGGGATGGCCTTCCCCCCAGAAAGGCTCAGGAAGCCTCACGGCCATGCACTGCCCACAGCGGAGTGTGAGAAGCTCATGGAGCTCTACGAGCGTCTGGAGGAGCTGGACGCCGACAAGGCGGAGATGAGGGCCTCCCGGATCCTGCACGGACTGGGGTTCACACCTGCCATGCAGCGCAAGAAATTGAAAGACTTCAGTGGGGGCTGGAGGATGAGGGTTGCCCTTGCCAGGTGAGTCCCTCCCTCCTCCACCTTTTGTAGCTCCCCATCTCAGGCTCGAATGCTTGCTCCAGTGGAATTGTTTCGAACGAGGGTTGATGATCAGTAAGTGCCAAACAGGATGCAGACATCCATGGGCGTGGAGGTGGGTGGCATGCGTGGGCTGGGGAATGAACCTCCTGACCGAGTGGTGGTGGTTGGGTTTCTGGCAGTGTTTAGGAATCCTAGGACCAGCCCTAGGTAAGACGGTAGAATAAATAGGTCTGTTTCTTTCCTCCTGAATCGCCTCACCCTTTTTTGTGCTTCAGTCCTAAGTTTTTCTAGATTAAGATGAAGTGTCAGACAGCTATTAAGATACCTGGTCCTCTCACCTTCTTGCAACTTGGACCCACAGCGAGTTTCTGTAACCGCCATTCCTCCAGTAAGCCCCCCCAAAAAGTCCCCAGTTAAATAGGTGGTTCCTTCTCTCCCAGGTGCCTTGGTGAGCCTTGCTTCAGCAAGGCTGCCTGTGTGCGCCTTTGAACATGAGTGCAGTGGTTCCATGTGCTAGCAAGGAGTAGCCGCCTCAAGTTCACTTAGAGAGCTTTTAAAAATGCAGATTTCCTGGCCTGGCCTTCAGATCTATGCAGTTACAATGCTGGAGTTTGGTGTCCAGAAATCTTATTTTTAAAGAGCTCCACAGATGTGGGACCCAGAGCTATCCCCTTGCTTCTCCTGTCTGGAGAGGCCATCTAAGAAAAGAACATTCTTTGGCCAGAGTATGGCAGCCCCGCCAAATACTGACGTGAATAGTTTCTGCTGTAGTGATTTATTTCCTCTCTGTCCTTTTGTCTTCCTGTTGGTTGCCAACCTTAGTGTAAAAGACGTGCAAATTCATAAGGACTTTTACAGCTTCATCTCCAAACCACATCATCCTTCTACTTCTCAGCCCCGCTTTCTGCCCTTTAGTCTCCAGTCTTCACCTCTGGTTTCTCTCCTAGTTCCCACTTTTCTTCTGAGGCATGGAACCTAGGGTGGATTTCAGGACTCGAGCCAGGCCTGCCCTAAATTGCAGGTGGCAGGCAAGGCAGCCCCCTTCTGGGTAGCGCCCGTGAGACTGAGGCGGCTTTGTCTCCTTTCCCGTCCTCAGAGCCCTCTTCATTCGGCCCTTCATGCTGCTCCTGGACGAGCCCACCAACCACCTGGACCTCGATGCTTGTGTGTGGTTGGAAGAAGAGTTAAAGACGTAAGGGGGCAGGCCTGGGGCTTGGGAGTGGGCAGGTCCTCAAGGGGGAGCTGAGCAGAGTCCAGAGGAAATGGACGCCCAGAAACCGCACTGCTGCTAGGAGTGAGCAGGTGAACTGGTGAGGCCAGAGTGAAAGGTAGACTGACACAGTGGCAAGCCTTGGTGTTTAGGGCTGGCCTTGATGTTTGCTTTTGTTTAGTCTGAAATGTGTGGGTTGTTTTTTGTTTCTATTGACC